CCTATTGTATTTGAATATTGACGACTAGAACCACTGAAAGGGTACTTACTTTCTGTTGTATTTGACCATATTGGCATCAGCAATGTCCGACAAGGGAAGATTAAACAATGAAAACGTACCATTGGCAAAACAGCTGAAAAAGTGTCAGTCTTAAAAGGTATTTCACATCAAAATATAGGGGTATTAATCTTACTTTGCTATCAATTTGCTATCAATTTTGTATAGATCTATTGATTATCTTGTTACTAAGGTACCAATAAATATTCAAAGTATAGAATAAAAGAGATCTATCATCAACAGTACATGGAATACGCCTTAAACATCTGTACTTTTTTCCGACTGAACCCAGTTGCCGTTAAAATATCTAATCTCTACTTTAATTACTTACATATAAAGATACACTTGGATGACTACACTGTTCAAAGATACTGGGAATGACCTTGACAAAATTTTCAAAGTAAGAAAAGAAGTTGTAATGCTGTGAGCAATAGTTGCTTTCTTTTCCGAAATCATATGTATTTGTAGACAAAATAATTTTTCATTTAAAATATTTTTAAATAATTTTGTAAAAACATATGGTTTTTATTTCGAATTTTGGAAAAGTGTCCATAGAAGTACAATTTATTTTCTTGCTATTACATTTTTATCCAGGTTATTCCAAGTACAAGTATCTTCGTTGCAAAGGTCCTAGTGCATCTGTAAACAAATTACGCTTGTAATTGAGGATCAAAAAATGAATCGAGACGTATGAACTTAGTCAATTCAAGAAAACTTATGACTTACTATTTTATAGCGCTTGTAATAACATACGATTGAAATGTTGTTTTTTTTAAATAGGCCAAAAAAAACCCTCACCCATCCATGAGGAGGAAGCCTATGAGAATCCAGGGATGGCCGTTCCCAATAACATAGTACATAACAAGACCCCCCGAGATTTTCCAAATGAAGTTCGCGAGGATCACATTCTTGTAGGAGAAATGACGTAGAATTGGAGCTATTGATATCACAAGAATCTGTAAATATAGAAACTAGAAGTCTCTGTTGGGACTGTAGCTCTACTGGTTTGTACTTATAACAAAGGAAGAGAAAAGTAGCAGTGAGGACTTGAAACTTTACAACAGCAATAAATAGATTAATGATCCTTGATTAATTCATTTTGTGACAAGATTGCAATAAGACTACAACTGTAGGAGTACACGTAGCTTTTAATAATTTTTTTAAAGAATTTTCAATTTTAGTTACCATGGCAACATCATTTTTCAAAATAAATAAATTAAGAAATGTTTTTAAGTTTTGTGTGAGTTATTGGTGTGTGAAGCACACAGACTTGTCACGTAGGCATATTTCATGAAACGTGCTAGCTTCATGAAAATATGCCTATGCGCAAAGCTGTGTGATTCACACACCAATAATTCACAGAAAACTTTAGTATATTCCTCATATTTACATTCTCTATGTCTTAAAGCATCAAAAATATACTGAATATTTGAATTTCTCGCTGCCCTATTTCATAGCATTTTTTCTAACGTCTCAGTAGCCTCATTGTGACGTCTCATTAACGCACGTTTCTCCGTGTATATTTCTACTTGTGAGTATACACGAAAATGGTATTCAAATCAATATCACTGTTCGCTTACTAGATAAACACAGCAAATGTAAATATAAAACAATAAAGACAATAATGTTTCTTAGTAAAGTCTATCTGCATACCACATTATATCATAATCAAACTAAAACTGTATTTGAAATAGCATTTTAAAATTATTTTACAGAAATTTCTATTTTTAGTTACCACATCAACACCATTCATTGAAAGCTAAAATTGATGAATAGAATTATGTATCATAGTATAGTCTACTTGTGTACCTAGTTATATTAAAATCAGACTCAATCTGTAAGAGGAATAGCATTTTGAAAGTATTTAAAAATAAATTCAATTTTTAGTAACCACGGCAACACCGTTCATCGAAATCAAAAACTTATGCACAGAATTAGGTATCTTAGTGTAGTCGACTTGTGTGCCAAATTACTGTAAATGTATTATATTTGGCATGTACGATATTTAGCGGAAAGTGATTTTTTAAGAAGTTAGCGTCGATTTGATTTAGCGCATTCCTTGAAATTCTTATTCATGTATCAATGTTGAAGACATTTACCGATGTACTTGAATTAGCGGAAGTATCTTTCCGCCAAAAGCGCTAAAAAAATACACCGCCAAATGTAATACGTTTACAGTATATTGAAATCGGCCCAAAACTGCAAGAGAAGTAGCATTTTCAATGCGAAATTTCTATTTTTAGTAACCATGGCAACACCAAAATAAAAACCGATGCACAGAGTTATGTACCTTAGTATAATCTACTTGTGTGCCAAATTATATTGAAATCAGACCAAAGCTGTAGGAGGAGTAGCATTTTTGAGAGCATTTCACAGAAATTTCTATTTTTAGTAACCACGGCAACACCGTTCATTGAAATCAAAACCAATGCATAGAATTATGTATCTTAGTGTAGTGTGCTTGTGTCAAGTTATATTGAAATCGGACTAAAACTGAAGGAGGAGTAGCATTTTGAAGAAATTTCTATTTTTAGTAACCACGGCAACACCGTTCATCGAAATCAAAAACCGATGCACAGAATCACGTATCTTAGTATAGTCTACTTATGTGCCAAGTTATATTGAAAACAGACCAAAACTGTAGGAGGAGAAGCATTTTGAAATCATTTCACAGAAATTTCTATTTTAAGTAACCACAGCAACACCGTTCATTGAAATCAAAAACCGATGCACAGAATTAGGTATATTAGTGTAGTCTACATGTGTGCCAAGTTATATTGCAATCGAACCAAAACTGGAGGAGGAGTAGCATTTAGAAAAATTGTTTACAGACAGACAGACAGGCCGACGGACAGACAGACAGACGGACGGACGACAGACGCATTACTATCGCATAAGCTCTTCTGGTCTCTGACTAGTAGAGCTAAAAAAACATATATACTAGGAAATATTGTTAGATATTATGATCAATACATTAAGGACCAACTTAGTATTGCTATCAGTATCGTGGTCACTCGGAATGCTTGGAAATCTTGTAGGCAATTAGAACCGTGTTCTAGCACCATGACACTGAAGGAACTGAGTAATAAGGCCACCTGTGAAGCTCGAGTTAGTGTGATTCTCAACTCACTGTCCTGTGAAATCTCGGTGAAAGAGAGAAGTCTGCCAGACCGATAGATGTGAAGAGTGTGTCCCAGAAACACAGAGCAAAAATTAAATGAAGACCCACAATGACAGGATTTGTACTCCACTGAAACCATGGTATTAAGAATGTTTTAAGAATGTTGCTGTTTTTGTTATCTGAAAAGTAAGTAAACAAGGGATCGTTGATGGCATTCCAAATCAGAAAGAGGACCTGAAACCAATATTCCTGTATGTGGTAGAATTTCAGAAAGACTTTATCATAGTAGAAATTGTAGGCGCTACTCAGCAAACCAAAGCTAGCAGATAGAGCACAATAAGCTAGGATCTGCTTCTGTTTTATGTCCTTCATTTTCTAAAATACTAAAACTTTTTTGTTTTGAAACTTAGTCAATCTTTGCCTGTAAAGAAGAAAAAACTTTTTTATTCATGTGGAGGCCTACTCAACAATGTCAAATATAATAAGGCTAGATCTAGATATGTGCAGAAGTAACTAATGTGGCTTTCAATTGTGCCTAAGTCGGTTTCTTAATTTCTTTATATACTGAAAGGAAAAAGAAACGCATAATAAACATTTGAATAAAATTAAAACTTTTATTTCCAGTATGTTTTCCAGTATTGTTATCAAGCAATTTAATCCAACTTTAACCAACAAGTAACCGAAATCTTGTGTGACTTTGATAATTCCTGAGTTATTAAAATTGATATGTCGATACCCCCCAAAATTAAAATAAAAATTCTCATCATCTCCCTTGCGCATCAGTAACAGTCTTGATTTTCTTGTGCATTGAGTTCTTCAGAGCCTTATCTTTCTCATAGAATTATCATTCAAGCATTCTTACGATAGTCTTAATGGTTGAGAGTAGCTGTGTTATTCCAAAGCCAACAAATACCCCGCCCAATGAATCCAACGAATTTCGATTTAGGATAGAATTTACAGAATCTAGCTGATTTGGTACACGTGAATGTTTGTAAGGAAGTCTCGACAAACACTGGCTACATTCTCTCAGCCTGAACATGCTAAAAACATTACGCATACGGCGCGTACGTGCGCGTGTGAGAGTAAAATCGACGTAAAGTTGCCAAGCTTGCGTACCAAATTAGAGCAGAGAGTTTCTGCCAGTATAAGGGTGAAAATATGAGTCTGACTGTCTGCTGTAAAAATATCATTGTTAGTGATAATGACTTGACAATAACCGAGGTAGCATGATGAAAAGCCCTATCTTGATGTGACATTGTTACGCACCAACGTCACCGTCATGGTTGGCTGGAAACCTTTTAAGTTACTCACTGACAACCGAAAAAACTTTTTTGGTTGAAAATTTAAAAACAAACTGCACAGCAACATGTTGTAGCCTTTTTATTCACTTATGGAACTCAATAACTAGACCCTATGTAACTTCTATCAGCCATACCATGATTGCAAGAAATTTCTACTGACAGAAAATATCGGAAAACGATGTCTGTAACTCTAATGCATCGATTGGCACTACAAAATTGGATCACAAAAATGTCATCATCAACATGCACGTGTATTTGGCTTTTTATCACTTCCAATACGTGACGCCATACATTTCATGATTGAGTAATTTTGACCAGCGATTGACCAGCGATTTTAGTGCACAGTATCCAAATTACACATCTGACCAATTTTCAGAATTTTCGGCCACATACCGGTAGTTAAATATTTTTCGCTATAATGCTATTATGCGTTTCTTTCTCCTTTCAGTATAATTATGTTTCACTTAATCATAAATTCGAATGTTCCGTGTGCACAGAATTTCGGGGGGGGGGGGGGGGATCTAAAACAAATCTGACGAGCAATATAAATCCTTGAATTCACTAGTGCTCGACATTGCAGCAATAAAAGTATGTCTTCTCAAGAGCGAGGGATAACCAGCATATAAGGGCAAATTTACATTGCAGTAAAACTTTTTCCAGAGAAAGTGATCGTCCCTTGTTTTCCGGGTATGTTTATTCAAAACATACAGGTAGGAAAATCCTCGATCTGTTGCCTCTTGGGACTCAAAATTAACGAAACACCACGAATCCGGATAAAATCGTTTACTGGGTCTTCCCGCCATCAGATGACCAGACGATAGGAAAGCAGATACCACCCAAATACATATTAATATTACGATGCTTCGAGCTTCTTTTGTCAAATACTGAAACTTGTATGGAAATATCAGAGCAAAGAATCGTTCCAGGGACATTGTGCATACGATCATTGCAGAAGCCATTATTGTAAACATTTGAATGACAGCCATATAATCACATACAGTTTGTGAATAGCTATACTCGAAGTGTGTTGCGTATCTAACGATAGCAAAAGGTAGCGCCAACATCACACCGAAGCCATCTGTCACCGCAAGTCCAAACACAAAGCGATAAAATGGCCGCCACTGATGCTGCTTCACAGAGCAACACACTATGATGACGGCAATACCATTGCCAGCAACTCCTAGAAGACAAAGTACCACGTGAGGTGCAATTGACGGTGACTCAACAAGATCTGATGAGGAGTTGGAATGTTGAACTGACAAGAAATTGGAACGTTTAATATCGAGATCTGGAGTAGAAGGCATCCTGTATTTTTGGAAAGGAAGCTGACGATTTGTCTAATCCCATATATATGGGGGATATTTAGGAAGTAATCTCATTTCATGTTGAAGTAAATATAGAGACAATTTCCTGGGTGTAAACATTTTAAACTTAAAACAATGCACATTTGAAATATTATAGTAAAGATAAATTTCCCTTTACTTACACATGTTACATGTGCAACAAAATACATAAAGACGAATCCTACGATAACAACCTAGATAAGCTGCAGAAATATTTTGGGAAATTTTAATGCCTGTTTTTTTTATTATTTATTTATTTATTTACTTTTGAACCATTAAATCTTTTCTTATGTCTCATTCTACACATTGAGAAAAAATTAAGTGTTATGTTTAAAAATAAAAATCTCTTTGTCCAAGGATCTTGTCCTTTAAGAATGATGTGAAATCTCATTTCAACTCGATTTGATGAATAGTAACAAAAAATGAATCTGTTGCAATGAAAATCTGCTAATATACTCCCCAAACACCTTTTTAATCTGACTGAGAGATAGGAAGTGAAACATACCGACAGACAATCTTGCGTCGCGGAGTTCGAATCTTACTTCGGGACATGGAGACAAGCACTTAGAATGAGCCCACACAATTTGAGGCCCCGTGTTGCATTAGAAACCAAATACAAGTCTACAATTGCACCTCTCCGCCTTCAAGTGGTATTCCCGAAACCTTTCACTCATTAGAGACGCCATCTTTTGCCAGTAGAGAGTTGCAGATAACTTAGACCTGTACTGGACTCTACAGGTTTGGGAACTGAGGGCAGTACATACTGCGACATACGGAATCTGATCCCCAAGTCCGGCGGGATTAACTATCCTAATAAAGACCAATAAACATGCATAATGGGACTTAAATATACAATATCTGTGGATGCTTCCATATAAATATGACAAACCATGGGTTTATTGTTCTTGAGAAGATTTTTCCTATATTTTCCTATGTTAAACTTTGATTGTCCATTGTGGCCCCACCCTACCCCGGGGTCATGATTTGAACAGACTTGACTCTACACCACCTTAGGATGCTTCCACATAAATAAAACCAATCATAGCTTTGCTGTTCTTTTGCGGATTTTTAAAGATTTTTCTTATAAACTCCTATATAGAACTTTGACTGTCCAATGTGGCCCCACCCTATCCCAGGGGGGTTATGATTTGAACAAATTTGAATCTACACTACCTGACAATGATTCCACATGAGATTCAATTTTCCTGACCCATTGCAATTGGTTCTTGAGATAGATTTTTAGCCGGGCTTGCTGAAAGCATAGCCCTGGCTATAAGAGTCATGATCGCCTCAGCTACTATATGGACAATGTAAACAAAAAGCCAAACAGCGTTCAAGAAGAAACTTCCGATATACAATGTAGATTTCCTGAAATGCATCAAATCGGGCAAATCATGAAATAAAATGCAATTTCTTTTATTTGTGAGAAAACTAGCATTAACAGGTATTCGTTTCCAATTCATTGTCCGCGTTATATAATCGGAAAATTGAACATTTTCACATATAATACCCAATCGTAACTACTCGGCCATTATCGTAACCACAAGTAATAGCTAGCGAGATGCAATTGATGCGCATGAATATATTCGAACTACTTTCGATAGCCGTCAGCTGTTGACTGCAAAGGAGGACAACATATTGAACTGAGAAAGAAAGTTGGTTTGGCTAGTATTCTGTAATTAGCAAATTTATTTAATATTTGACATACTGTTTCTTTAGGGCTGAAAGAAATCATCAAATTCATCGTATATTCATGTACATTTTTAAACGTTGATTGCATGATTAGAACCTCAGATCGGGCAAGGCCTAGATCCCGCTAATCCTTTAATTGTGATTTGCGGTATTAATCATATTTTTACTATTATCAGTTTCATCAAATGAATACCAGTTACTCCTTCCTTCATTTTTTCTGAACTAAATTATTTATATAGGTCTAATCCATGTCATTTCACAATTGATGCTAGAAGTAGGTGCATGCCGCTATACTCATAGTATGAATTGCTAGTAAGCATGTGTTTTGGAAATTATTGAAACGAAACATCTTTATTATGTTCCCCAAACGAAGTTGGGGAACATATTGTTTTTACTCTGTTTCTTATTATGTTCCCCAAACGAAGATGGGGAACATATTGTTTTTACTCTGTTTCTTATTAAGGTCTTCCGTTTTCACGGAAGACCTTATAGTGATTCTACTGTTTCTTATTATTATTATTCTTATTTTTTAGACAAATTTTGTGCACGCGATATCTCGAGAACTATTCATCGGTTTTTCATCAAACTTTCAGGGATAATGCGCTCTCATATGCCATTGTTACATTTGGAGGAATTTTGGAACAATTCGCTTCCGGTGCCAAATTATGGCCATTTTTCTGATTTCAAAATGAAATTTTGTCAGTTCGAGATCTAAAGAACTACTAAAGATATGAACTGGAGACTTGTTGGAAAACATAGGGCATGACTTCTAGATATGCGGAATGCCCTTTTCGTATGTCGTCAGTACTTCCGGTCGCTACCGGAAGCGAATTTAAAAAGTCAAAATTTTCAACTTTTTTGTTTTTCATTATTTTTCTTTGATTTTAAGAGGGGTAATAAAGACTCTTTACAGAATGCGATATATGTAATTTGTTTTAGAAATGAAAAAGCCAATCTCAATATATTCGTATTTAAAAGTTTGAAGCGGCGTTCCCGATGGCGTAATGGTTAACGCGTTGGATTTTCGCGCGTGCGACCCGGGTTCGATCCCCCGTGTGACCGATATTTTCTTATGACTTTTTCAGCTTGATTTTTCGTTTTTTATTTCAGAATCGGACGGAAGACCTCTCGTTGCTCGCAACGAGATCGTTTCTAGTTATTATTTTTCTTCTTCCTGGGTACGTATTTGTCCGCGAATGATCTTGTAAACTGTTCATTTGATGTAAGTAAAACCTTTTTAGGGTTAGTAGACATGTTTTGTAGATTTGCAGAATCAAGGTCATTTTGCGTGCACGTGCTTGCAAGAGCGCGCACGTGCATCATGTAAAATGACTAATATAATTGATATAGCCGTAACTTTTCTCTTTTTTGATGAAATGTGTTGAAACTCAGAATATAAGAATATATTAGTATTATAGACAAGAGAACATGGTCAAATTATCATGAACTCACGCGCATGCACGTGCGCTTCGCTCTGATTGGCTGAAACAAAAATCTCAATATCTTATTTGTTTTTTGACGAAATACTTTGAAATTTAAAACATAGTAATGTATTAATATATCCTACGATATGATATGAAATAATTTTCATGAAATCACGGAGATGGACATCGTCGGAAACCCACGGCTGATTACGCTTCGTTCGTCTCTGAGGAACGAAGCGTAATCAGCCGAGGGTTTCCGACGATGGGAGATGGAATGAGGCACCAAAATGAAGTTGGTAAGCGTTTGGGGAACATCTGTAACGGTTCCCGTTACAATTAGCACTTGTTAAGGTCTTCCGTCTTCAGCGGAAGACCTTCTTGTTATTCGTTTGTTTCTTTTCCACTGTTTTTCTTATTATTTTTTTTCTCCCCGATTTTGTGCACGCGATTTCTCGAAAACGGCTCGTTAGATTTTTATGAAACTTTCAGGTCTGATAGAACATGTCAAAAACTTGATACATTTTTTTTTCATTTTGATGACGTCACTTCCGGTTCGAAAATTTTCGCAATTTTGTGATTTTTAAGGGTCATTTTGTCCATCGCTCTTCTTAAAAATCGCTCATCACAGGAATATGAAACCTTGTCTGGAAGATAGAGCAACAAATGTAGATTTGCATTGTGTTGTTAACCTTCACCGGAAGTACTGCACGTTAACGCTCGGTATGGTCTGAAAATAGCCATATTGAGCGTTTCAAAATTTTTTACACTTTTTCTATTATATCTTTTTACTTGAAAATATTTTGTTAAAACATATAGAACAAAAATTGTGAAGAATTCTAAGATCTTTCAAATGATATCTCGAAAAAAGGGCTGACCCCTAAAATTAGGGATCTAGAGGGGCCAAAAATTTTTACTTGATATCTCGAAAAGTATTGAGAATTTGTAATACTTCAAAGAAGCAAAGTTGTTCAAAATGACAAGCTTAATCTTTCTGAGTCGTCAAAATACGTCCGGCGTCGTCACTTCCGGCCAAACCGGAAGTAGTCAAAAACAGGTATTTTTGCTGTTCTTTTCAAGTTTTTTTGGTAACATATGTCTCTTGGAGCTTAAAAATTAATTTTTCGTCCGTCGTTGTCACTTCCGTTTAAACCGGAAGTAGCATAAAATTGCTTATTTTTGCATTAATTAACATAGCTTTAGAGGATTCAAACCATTTCTAGGCGTTATTTCTCATTTTTTGTTGAAAATGAAAGCTACTTCCGGGCAAACAGGACGGAAGACCTACTCGTTGCTTTGCAACGAGCTTTGCTCTAGTTATTATTATTTTTCTTCTTCTTCTTCTTCCTGGATACTTTTTTGTCCGGGAGTGATCTTGTAAACTGTTCATCCGATGTAGGTAAAACCTTTATAGGGTCAGTAGACATGTTATGTAGATTTGCAGAATCAAGGTCATTTTGCGCGCACGTGCTTGCAAGAGCGCGCACGTGCAACACGTGAAATGACAAATATAATAGATATAGCTGCAACTTTTTTAGTTTTTGATGAAATGCTTTGAAACTCATAATATAAGGATATATTAGTAGGATAGACAATATGACATGGCCAAAATAGCAAGATCGCACGCGCATGCACGTGCGCTTCGCTCTGATTGGCTGAAACTAAAGTCTCAATATCTTTCTTGTTTTTTGACGAAATCCTTTGAAATTTTGAACATAGCCATGCATTAGGATATCCTATAACTTAATATATAGCAATTATCTTGAAAACACGTGCATGCACGTGCGCTGCAATCTGATTGGCTTAAACTTTAAATAGCTATAACTCCCTTGGTTTTCAACCAAACAGGATGGGATTTGGAACAAAGATAGATATAATGGACTTCTGCAACAAGGTATGGTCAGCATGCACATGCATACACCTGCGTGTATCTGCGCTGCAATCTGATTGGCTGAAACTTTAAACAGCTATAACTCCCTTGGTTTTCAACCAAACGGGGTGGGATTTAGAACATAGATAGATGTAATGGACTTCTACAAGAAGGTAAGGTCACCATGCACGTGTGTGCACGTGCGTGCACGTGAAATGAGTTAAATCAAAAATACACTTGAATGAGCGTATTTTTGATACTTTTGGATTAAATACTGTATTATTTAGTTTATTAAAATATATAGATTGTGTAGACAAGATGATATGGTCATTATGCACATGCATTCACATGCGCACGCGTGCAATGCTAAAATTTGAATGAACTTGGTACACTTCTGGGTAAACGTTGTTAAAGTCTCAAATGCATAGAGTTTGTCTTATTTAATGATTCTTACAGGGAATATGGCACCAAAAGGGAGTTGGGGAGCGTTTGGGGAACATCTGTAACGGTCCCCGTCACAATTAGCACTAGTTCATTTTGTATTTGAACAAACATTGAAACTGAAAAAAAAAAAACAGTAGCATTGTGTATATTTTACTGTGAAACATTTTGAACACCATATATATTTGCAAAGACTGAGTATATGTTTATATTGGTTTATGAATTGTCTTGAATTGAACATTTCATAACTGACTAAGAAAACTGAAATTACTTGGAGTTGAAGAAATTTATATAATGAGTTTACAACAAAATAATACTTGGAGATTGAATTTTCTTTGAGATGAACAATTTGAAAGATGTAAGATCTCTTGGACTGTGAATATTCTTGGAGTTGAACATTTCAAAATAAAGTTACTTGGAGTTGAACTATAACATGTATGTATAAGAAATCGATACAAGAAAAATGCATCATGTTGAAAATACAGTATATCGGAAGTATTTGTAAATTACATGAAAGGTGTTCCAGGTACTGTAGACTTGCAAATATTTTCTATCAAAGTTAAAAGCATTTTATGTGACCTAATATTAAAATGCTTCTCGGAGATAATCAGTTCCTTGGCCTTTTTGTGTTGCACAGTCATAAACATTGACAGTAAAAAAAAGTGGGAATGTAATAGTTTTAAATTAATTGTTGACTAATAGTTTTAAATTAATTGTTGACTAACATGATTTCTCTTTGATTACTGTGATTATCTTGTAAATTAAAGTGTTTTAAACATGCTCTGTTGTATATGTATGTTTTCTTCTTTAAAAAATTCATCAAGGTTAACAGTAACAATGAGAAAACTCTCTTGGCAAACATTGAATGCAAAGACATGTACATTTTTTCTGAAACTAAACTAAAGGACAACAACTATCTAAACTACAAAAAATCTGCATTCAAGAATGGCACTTCCCAACATACAGGTAGGAAAATCCTCGATCTGTTGCATTCTGGGACTCAAAATTCACGAAACACAACGAATTCGGATAAAATCGTTTACTGGGTCTTCCCGCCATCAGATGACCGGACGATAAGAAAGCAGACACCACCCAATTACATATTAATATTACGATGCTTCGAGCTTCTCTTGGCAAAGACTGAAACTTGTATGGAAAGATCAGAGCCAAGAATCGTTCCAGGGACATTGTGCATACGATCATTGCAGAGGCAATTATTGTAAACATTTGAATGACAGCCAAGTAACCACATACAGTCTGTGAATAGCTATACTCGAAGTGTGTTGCGTATCTAACGATAGCAAAAGGTAGCGTCAACATCACACCGAAGCCATCTGTCACAGCAAGTCCAAACACAAAGCGATAAAATGGCCGTCACTGATGCTGCTTCACAGAGCAACACACAATGATGACGGCAATACCATTGCCAGCAACTCCTAGAAGACAAAGTAACACGGGAGGCACAATGGAAGGTGACTCAACAAGATCTGATGATGAATTGGAATGTTGATTTTTCATGCTTACAGTGGACGACATTTCGGTGACTTGGTATTTCATACAGGAATCTGAAGTCAGTTTTAAACCTTTAATGATGATAGATGAGAAGGAAGTAGTTGATGTGAACGTTTTGATGTTTATCTCTTTACATTTCAAAAAAAATAATTTCCTGGTTATATGCAAAACTTCAACACATTTTCACGAATTCAATTTTTATTCTATTTTTCCTCACTTCTTGTATTTTTTATTAGTTTTTACAAATGATGCATTAATGCCTCGATCAGAAGAGTTCCTGGATTATCATGTTTAATGATATTTTTGTGCTGGCTCTTCCTCTCCCCTTGTTACATGACCATATGACACAGGGAGGGAAAAGGATTAGGTCACATTGTCTGGTCATATCGTGGTCTTTTTGATTATTTTCTTTCATAAAATAAATGCAGTTCTAAAATATCTATCTTAAACTTTCTAATATTGACCAAAAACAATATTTTAAAATAGTTTTTTGCATTAATTGCAATTATCAACATACATTTTTTGATTTCGTGGTCCATGAATCGAGTACTTTCAATAATACATAGATATGTAAGTTAACTAATTAAGTGAAAACTCAAAAAATATATTTACTGTTTCCTGTTCATAATCATGCTGTTTTAACTTCCAATTCTACTTTATTTGAGATTCTGTAAAACGACCAGCTTAGTAACTGTATGGTACCCAATACAACTGGGTACAAGCACACCAAAGAAAACATGACTCCTTTCAGATCCTCTAGCTCTGCCGAATTAAAGGGGTTAACCGAGGGGTTGGTCATGTCACCTGTTGATTTTTTCATCTGATTGTACCCATATTTGTTTAAAATGGCGACAACCAACATTGGAGACAATGAAATGGCAGGTTTCACAAATAAAGCATTCGTCCCGAACACCATCGATGATATTGGATGCCTGTATTAAATGTAAAGAAAAATAACATTGTTTTCGTTTAATATACATAATAAATACTAAATCTTATCGGTTAAGATTCATTTTATAATTGTAATAGTTGAGGACCGCCTCGATTGATATTTGTTTGTTTTTTTGGTGATGGATGGGTTAATAATTGTCGATGTTACCCAAAACAACATGCAATATAATATACTGTCGTGTTGTAACTTTTGAGTTTACTACCTCCTGGTAAATAAACAAAAAACTGGAAGGGTACCTACTTCCTATTGCATTTGAATATTGAAGACTAGAACCACTGAAAAGTTACTTACTTCCTATTGTATTTGACCATATTGGCATCAGCAATATCCGACAAGGGAAGATTAAACAGTGAAAACGTACCATTGGCAAAACAGCTGAAAAAAATGTCTCTCTTGAAAGGTTTTTCACATCAAAATATATTGGTATTAATATGATTATTGCTATAAGTTTTGTATAGATCCATTGGTTATCTTGTTACTAAGGTACCATAAAATATTCAAAGTATAGAATTAAAGAGATCTATTATCAACAGTACATGCAATACGCATTGTACATCTGTATTTTTCAGGCTGAACCCAGTTGCGGTTAAAATACCTAATCTCTTTACTTTTATTAGTTACATTAAAGATACACTTGTATATCTACACTGTTCAAATATACTTGGAATGACCTAGATAAAATTTTCATAAAATTTAAATGATTTTTTTAATGAGACAGAGAAAACTCACTCGTCTATGAGGAGGAAGCCTATGAGAACCCAGGGATGGCCGTTCCCATTAACATAGTACATAACAAGTCCTCCCGAGATTTTCCAAATAAAGTTGGCGCGGATCACCTTCTTGTAGGAGAAATGACGAAGAATAGGAGCTATTGATATCACAAGAATCTGTAAATGTAGCAATAAACTATATATAATGGGAAATATTGTTAGACTTAATGATCAATAAATTATTCTTAACCCTTAAGCAAACTTTTTAAAAAGTTAGATTTTGTATGTATGGTAAAATTTGTAAATACCTAAAATCTGGATGAAAAATGTTATTTTTCATTTTTAAACTAGATTATTTATTTGTATTTTATACACATCCGAAAATGGGATTTCTTACCTTTGAAGCAAAAGGAACACTGCCATAAAAAGTACTTCTAGCAGTCTGACTGATTTCATCGGCTGATATTAACTGATCACAAATAATGGCCATAAAATTGTATAGGAATGTTTGGTGAAACTCCTGAAAGAAGTTGGTGACTACAAACGAAATAAAATTAATGTCTCTGACGATCTGCCATGTCTGCTGCCAGTACGACTCTTGTCCTGTTCTCTCGTGACACACTTCATCCGGGGACTTTTCCCCATGCTGCATTTGCTGCAGATCGTATTGGGTGTGGCAGTTTTTTCCACAGTAATACATTAAGAACCAACTTAGTATTGCTATCAGTACTGTAGTCACTTGGAATGATTTGAAATCTTGTAGGCCATTAGAGGCGTGTTCTAGCACCATGACACTGAAGGAACTGAATAATGAGGCTATCTGTGAAGCTCGAGTTAGGGTGATTCTCATCTCACTGTCCTGTGAAATCTCGGTAAAAAGACAGCATTCTGCCAGACCGATAAATGTGAAGAGTGTGTCCCAGAAACACAGAGCAAAAATTAAATGAAGACCCACAATGACAGGATTTGTACTCCAAGGAAACCATGGTATTAAGAAGGACAAAGAGAAAAATGGAGCCGAGTACAGAATTATGTTCCGTCGAGTTCTGAGAATTTTGAAGTTTTTGTTATCTGAATAGTAAGCTAATAGGGGATCGTTGATGGCATTCCAAACCAAGAAGAGGACCTGAGACAGCTGAAACCAGAATTCCTGTATGTGGTAGAAGTTCAGAAAGACTTTAACATAGTAGAAATTGTAGGCGCTATTCAGCAAGCCAAAGCCAGCCGTCAGCGAGCAATAAGTCAGGATCTGCTTTCGTTGTATACCAACAGTACCCATATTTTAACACTGTTGTCTTAAAGCCAAAGAAGAATTTCTTTACATATCCCTGTACCTACAAATGATAAAGGGGGTGCTTAGTTGTTGAGCTATGACTCTGGGCCAATTTATTTGTCAGATCAATTAATTTCCTCTGATTTGTCTTCTTTCCAGACCAAAGTTCAGTGCTAAGAATTATTCATCTGATTAGTTTTATATATGAAACTTAATTCAGAATGTGCCATGCAGTCAAGATATACATGTACATACACTTTCCCTCCTAATAAACACTTTACAGGGCTCACAGCGGGTGTGACCGACCGAAAGGAGATGCTTATTCTCCTAGGCACCTGATCCCACCTCTGGCAGTTCCAGGGGCTCGTATTTTATGCCTTCTTCAGAGTTTTGTATTGTTCATTAATTTAATTTTTTTTTATTCTCGCCTCTCATTGGTTGATTTCCAAAAAGGAACGCAAATTATTTTGTAATCACTGTTGACGACCAGCTTAATACTTTTCACCCTTTTCATGGAAAATTCCAGATTTAATAAATGTAACTTTTGAACATTCCTATAAATTTAGTTAAAGTTTTATTTCACTATATGCAATTGGCAATCTGAAAATCACTCAAGTATTAATATAGAGAAGCAGCTGTCAGATTTAATACTTTTCCTCTACTAATCAATCATAATTATCGAGACGAAAAATACTTTATTACCGAAATACTGATTATTAAAGAAATGTTAGAAATACACGCATTATTACCGAAATGTTAACACTCACTTCTATAATTTTCGTCCGTGTAAATCAGCTGTAAATATCAAATTTAAAAAAAAAAATATTTCAGGTTTTTTTTACCTTTGTACCTTTTGTAGAACATTAGTTATTGGCATATATATAATAACATTCTCTTGCAATTTTATATCTTGACCAATTCAAGTATAAACTATGTGGACTGAAAGACAGACAGGCTTAATAAAAATGAGGAAATTCGAAATGACAACAAACTTCTTGAACAAGAAAAATTGGCACATAAATTTCTTATTCTTTGTGATTTACCTTCATGAAATTCCTATAACCGTTGGGCTTGTTCTTTAGCAGAAATAATTAAAAATATTTAACCGGTACACGCACTTCCGGGTGTTTCAGTTTTTTAATATACCAGGTATAAGAACAGTGTTCTTATCAAATAATCGAACCCGGCTGACCGCTACAACAGAAAATAAATCGATCAAATTCAGATTTCCGGAATTAAGCTTACATTACTACATTCCCCCATCTTAAGATCAATTAAAAAAGAATATAATCGTCCTTGTGTACCTTATAGTTTATAAGTAATAAACATATATCATTTTCAAATGAATACACAAATTGAGAATATCACATGCATTCTAAATTGAAATATACATGTATCTTTCATAAAAATACATATAAATTATTCATAAATATATAAATACATTATGTACAGGCAATAACTAAAGAGATTTACAAAAATATAATTTATATACTGTAAAATCACATATTTTCGTGGGGTCAAATTTTGGTGGTTTGAGGAAAATCTCTTCGTGGGGATTTGGTTTCGTGGATCAAGAATTAATGAATACTTATGTATGTAACATTTTACATTTCGTGGTGGACATGAATTCGTGGGTCTCATATCTCGAAAACAACGAAAATTAACCCCCCACGAAAATTTGTGGTGTCACAATAAACTGGTCATATAAATGTCAATAATTTCCATAATCTAACAGATGATCAGTAATATTCACACAAAGTCCTTTAGGTCCTCCATTTCCATGGTAAGATTCATCTGTGTAATCAAGTTTGTCTGTTGAATATCTTCTTTCGATCTTCTCATCTCTTCTTGAACTTGCCTTCTACGTTCTTCAGTGGATGGTTTCTGGTTCAGGATCAGTTTCGGCATCGGGACTCCTTGAGTGCTGATAAATTTGGAATTGATTTTTTCTAAGGAAGAATTTATCAGCCTTTGTTTTCTCTAATTTTTGATTCAGATGAAGATGTTTTCATAATTCTGTTTTCCCGTTTTATAAAACTCGAGCACATTCACTGCATCTGTGTGGAGTAATAGCTAAGGCGTGAAAGTACTTCCAGTGTTTCGTCAATTTGGAGTAATTGTTGAAGGCTAAGATATATGTTCAGTCTGGAACAGGGCAAAACATACCCTTCCCATAGACGAAATCAGCATGCAGAGATTGTAATTCACCATCATTTACAAGTATCTCTACAACATCTATCTTAAAAGAAAAAGAAAGTAAACAGAAATTTACAGTTATGGTTAATAAATTTGTTTTGGTTTTATTTTTCTACTAAACCTAGAGGTTTGCATTGGTGATGAAGGAGGGTTCTGTATTTTTGAAAAGGCATTAGGTGAATCCTTAGTGTGGAATTATGAAAATGAAGAATAATTTCCGTGCTGACGTTAGCTGCTTCTGGGGAGGATACATGTTCAAGCAACCAACTGAGAGGAGCTTGGTTTTCTTCGTAACGTTTTAAGTGGTCCACGTGAACGGTAATTTCGAGAGAGTTTTCATTTTCTGAATTTTATATAGGAGAGATAAAATTTTATCAACAACTAAATAGGGACCCGTCCATCCTAAGCCTAATTTTTCTTTCGCTTTAGGTGAGTACTATCTCCAAACCCAGTCATCTTTCTGAAAAAAAGTCGGGGTTTAATAGTAATTTTTCTGTCGATTTGCTGCCTTGTTAAAGTGTTCTGTAACCATTCGATGTATTCAGAATGACAAAAGTGGATTTGATCAGGAGGAATTCCAGCAACAATATAAATGGGACAACTAAGTTATGTCCAAACATTAGAAGATTGAGAGTACAGTTGGTACTTTTCTGAGTGGTAGCTCTGTAAGCCATAGTTAAATACGGTAGATGGTCGTCCCAGGCGTTTTTGTTTATGTAATAGACAAGGGACGCAAAATATCGATACCAATTCGATGTAATGGTTTAATTATTTCAGAATGTTTAAAGAAAGGTTTCCCACAACCAGGACCATGTTTCCTTTGGCACATTTATCGCATTCTTCGCACCATCGTGTAACATTTTCAATTAGATTTGGCCATGAAAACTTGCGTTTCATTGCCTCAGCAGTGCGTTCTATGCCAAAATGACCACATATCCTACCTAGTAGAATGAAATATATGAAATATGAAATCACAGGGCGCAACGAGTTTAATATCATCATTTGTTCTATACAAGACGTTGTTTTTCACTACTAGTAAGTCCCAATTATTCCATGAACAGAGTACCCTTAAAAACTACCTTTTGGGGGTTTCTGGTCTGTTTCGATTTTTATTTTTAGAATAGGGACGTTCACATTATCTTTTACTGCATTTCAGTCAAACATTCAGTAGACTATGTGTCTAGCCAGTTTGAAGTTAGAGTATCAATGTCACTGTGATTTTCAGATAGAACTGGGCATAGCGGTACAGGTTCATTAAAACCTTCATTTTTATTGATAGGGGAGGTCACTTTAGGGGTTGCATCTTTTCTTTCAGACACTGATTCTGAACAACAATCAAGGCATTTCGGGTTGGGTGCAAAGTCTTGACAGAGGTCTACGTGAAAGACTGTCAGTATTTAAATGCTGCGAACCCTTTTTATGTTCAATCTTAAAATCATATGTGTCCAGAATACATATCCACCTGGCAACTATGCCTTCAGGATTCTTTTTTTTTAGCCTGACTAAGGACGCATGGTCAGTTCTGACTAAAAATTGTCGACCCCAAAGAAAAATGTTGGACAAAAGTCACTACAGAAAGTAGTTCTCGTCGAGTCGTACAATACCGACGTTTGGCCCTATTTAAGGTTCTACCAGCGTATGCTATAACATGCTCTTGACCATCTTGAATCTGAGAAAGTACTGCCCCGATACCAGAGAGACTTGCGTCAGTGTCAAAACTGAACCTCGGAAGTGGGGTATGATAATACTGGTGCAGAAACCAAAGGTCTTTTCAGTTCTTGAAAAGAATTTTGGAACGATTCATCCTATATAAATTTTCTGTTTTTCTGTGTCAACTTTGTCTTTGGAAAAGCAGCAGTGCTAATATTTTGTATATTACGCCTATAGTACCCTGCTAACCCTAAGATCCCTCGTACCTCACTAACATAACTGGGCGCAGGCCATGTAGATACTGCTTGAATTTTCTCTTCATCACAACCAATTCCCTGTCCAGAGACAACATGTCCTAAAAATTTAACAAAGCTTTGAAAAAAAAAATAATTCTTGGATTTTAGTTTTAGATTTGTCTTTTTAGGCAGTTGAAAACACATTCTAAATTTTCTAATGCTGCGATAAACGTATCTTCATAGACAATGATATCGTCAAGATAGCACAAGCATTTTTGCTACTCAAATTTCCCTAACACTAGATGAACAAGTCTTTGGAAAGTCGCAGGAGCATTACATAACCCAAATGGAAGAACTTTGAACTGATAAAGACCTTTATGTGCAGTGAAAGCAGTTTTGTGTATATCTTTGTCTGACATTTTGCACTACCAGTAACCGTTAGCCCTGTCTAGAGTAGAAAACCAACGAGCACCTGCTAAAGATTCTAGAGATTCATCTATGCGAGGTAGTGGAAATGCATCCTTCTTGGCATTTAAACGACGATAATCAATGCAGAATCTTATACTGCCGTCTTGTTTAAATGTCAAACAAATAAGTGAAGCACTAGGACTTTCAGATACATCAATAAAGTTATTTTCAAGCATAGTCTGAATTTCACTTTAACTTTTTCCCTTAAAGGAATTCTTCTGCGGTGTATTTTAAATAGTTCTGAATCCCAGTTTTATTGTGTGCTCAAATAAATCAGTTCTTCCCAATGGCTCCCCTGGACCAACACAATGTCTTGAAGGCTTAAAGATTGCAAATGGCTAATTTTTGAGATTCATTTAACTTTTCAGAAGTGTAGAATTTCTTCTAAATGTTCTGGTAGATTTGTATAATTCATATCTTTTAAGCTTTCTTCTTTTACAGAAGGAATTGATTGTTCAAAGGACTGTGAACTAGAAAATGTCTTCTTTATGTTTTGGGTTAACTAAAGACTAAAGAAGTTCTTTATTTTGAAACACTTTAGAGGGCTCTAGAAGACCTTCTCATCCCTATGTTCACAATCAATATATCCTTGTATGAACTATACACTGTTAGGAGGAATAGA